AAAAAAGAGAGAGAAATCAGACAGAAGAGGTAGATAGAGAGATGAGATAGGAGAGATAAATAGGAGAGATGGACAGATGGGAAGGGAGAGAGAGAACAGAGAGAGAGAAAGAAATCAGGAGAGGTAGATAGAGAGATGAGATAGAAGTGATGGACATGGGGAGAGACAGAGAGAGAAAAAAATAGAAAGATGAGACAGACAGGAGAGATGGTCAAATAGGAGAGATAGAGAGGGAGGGAGGGAGGGAGGGAGAGAAACAAAGAGAGAGATGAGACACAGGAGAGATGGACAGATGGAGAGATAGAGAGGTGAAACAGATGAAAAATGAAACAGAAAGAATGAGATAGACAGACAAAGATCAGTTTTAAAAAAAAACCCAATTTCATATCTAGCTTCCTCTTGCTTTAATGAAGCATAATAAAAGACATGAAAATGACATCATTGCATGATTGGGGCCTCCCTCTTCCCCTCCCTTTCTATCAGCAGCAGTTGGAATTTTTTCGGATGGAATGAGCAAATATGTGATCACTGGGGCATATAATCACTGTAGATTTGTCTTGTCCACATCCAGAGAGGTGAGAAACTGAGGCTTGGGTTGCAAATGAAGGCAATGAATAAAATAAACAGCCGGAGAAAGGAAGACTGCGTTATATCTAAAAAAAATTGCACACCTTGGAAAAGGAATCCATCGCATGTGAAAGGAGGAGGAATGTCTAAATACAGGGAGTCACGAAGATCTGCAGCAAAGCAGAACATCTGGGGAGTAACCTACATTTAATACTGCAGCTAGACTAAACATTCATCACTACGTAACTGCAGATTATGGCAAAGTGAGGCTTTTCCTTGTATTAGCCACCCAGAGGTATGAGAGTTTGATGACTAAAGAATTTACAACGTACATCGAACCAGATGTATTTATCTAGCACATAGCCTGAAAATATTTCAGCCTTTTCACACGATATAAAAGAGAGCCGCGGTGACACAGTGGTTAAAGTGCAGTACTGCAGGCTACTTCTGCTGACTGTCGGTTGACTGCAGGTTCGGCAGTTCGATCCTGACCGGCTCGATGTCGACTCAGTCTTCCATCTTACCAAAAGTCTTCCATCTTTCAGTAAAATGAGGAACCCAGACTGTTGGGGGGCAAGAGGCTGGCTCTGTAAACCGCTTAGAAAGGGCTGTAGAGCACTGTGAAGCAGTATCTAAGTCTAAGTGCTATTGCTATAGATAGTTGGCTTTGTATATTGCACTAGAAAGATAGATAGATATAAATAAAATGAAATGAAATGAAATGAAATATAAAATAATAAAATAAAATAAAATGAAATAAAATAAAATAATAAAATGAAATAAAATAATAAAATGAAATAAAATAATAAAATAAAATAATAAAATAAAATAAAATAAAATAAAATAATAAAATAAAATAATA